GGGTGGCTGTACACAGATCCTTTTCCCTTCTTTTTTCCCCTGTTGGTGTTGAGCCGCACCAGCTGGTGCTCGTGCACGTGCTGCGTAGCGATGGGTCCGAGCGGGCATGGACACTTTGATATTTCGGAAAGGGAAGGAAAGGGAAAAGTGAAAGGAAGAAGTTGTTCGAACAAATGTTCGATGCGAAGATCGATGCAACACACCCCTCTTCGAGAAATTGTGAATCTCTTCTTTTCGAAATTAAATTAACCCTTTAACTACTTTACTTAGCACATATGATCGGTTTAAACGTAAGAAAAAGGAAAAAAATATTTTGATAAAATCAAATTATAATACTAGACAATGTGATTCTAAAATGTATCATATGATAAAGCGAAAACGTTGCTATTGCAGAAAATCTTCAAATTTATGTTAAAACTTCATCGTCAAACTACATTTCGCTTTTTTTCTCGAGGAACTGGAAGAAATAGAAGGCTCATCCATATTAGGAAAAGTTCACAAAAATAAAATAATTTCGAAAGAGACTCGAACAGCGAAACTCAAAATGAAACTGAAACTTTTATCTTGTAGCAGAATAAAAATAGGATAAAAAATAAAAGCATTTGCCGATCGACGAAGTATGCATTTTATATAATCAACGATAAAAAAAGTAAAATTAAAATAAGTATATATATTCTAATTTTAAATTATATTAGTGATATTCCATTTTGAAAGATTGTTTTTTTATTCTATTTATTTTTACTTTAGTACCACATCCCTTATATATTAGCAAAAAGTAACATATTGCTTACCCGCAGTCAAAGGGTTAAACATACTACGAGCAAACAAATGAATCGTTATTATCTATTCTTGCCATTTAAAAAATTTTTTAAAATGGTGAAAATTCCATTTTCGATCGTTCGAAATTAAGTTTGATTTATAATATATAAATATATTATACTTCGAACTCGATCCCATCACTAGTCCTCCTGCCTTCCCTCCCGAGAGGAGGGAAAAAGCGAAGACGGTGGAGGCTTAATTGCGGAATACCGGCGCACGTGCACGCGTCGATAACGCGCATCCTTTCCGCTCCTCTCTGACATCATCGATCAAACCACCCCGCGCGTTTCTCTCCTTTTTGCAAAGGAGGACTCCGGTTCTTTCGTACGCCGCCATTCCCCCCCCCCCGGTTATTAGTCAGGATCAAGATTTTTGCGGGGGGCGATTCTGTTTTTTTTTCGAAACGGGGATCGATTAGGGTTTCGGATCGAGTCATTGGTCAAGTGTCGTGGATGATTTTTGCGGAAGAAGATGCGACGGTTTTCTTCGAACGAATCGCGCGTTTCAATCGCGATTTATACACGTTGTACGTTTCTCTTTCACCGTAGCCAGTTAAAAGTAAAACGAAAGAGAACGAAATTGACACGAAAATTGAAGCGAACGATTCTATTCGCTTCGTCTATAATTCGATCTTCGAATTTCTGTTATCTCGTACACGCTTGAAATATTCCCTAAATATTCTCAAATCAAAGAATTTCATAAGGAACCGTAAGAATCGCAAGATCCAACGAATGTACGATATCCTGATTTCTCCTCGTTTACTTCCTAACCCCCTTTTTTCTTCTCTCACTTTCGTATACTCGTTTGGAATAAAAAAAATGTGCGAATCGACATTCACAATAAAACGTAAAAAAAAAAAAAAAGACAAACTATTCGAAAACCTCCTCCTCGAACAAATTTTCAAATTTCCAATTTCCCAAAAACCACCTTTCCAAGAGAAAGAAGAAAAAGAAATTTCCACGAGTCGAGAAAGAAGGAAGAACCACCCAGTATATGGGCACAGGGGTCGGTAGCATCCATCCGCTACGGAAACGGTATCCCGAAGTAAAGTTAAGCACGTAACCCGAGCGAACGAAACGCCGTTCTCCTGCTCGCGCCGAGGGCAGGGACCCTTCTTATGCGCTCGTCGAAGTCTCCGCGCGCTAGGCCGGCCGGCCGGCCAGCAGTAGGTCGAAGCGAGGGCCCGAAAAGCTCACGGCCTTGAGAGATCCTGCAGCCGCTGCGTTCAGCGGTAGACCGCAGACCGTGCGTCGGTGTGTGTCCCCATACACGCGAGGATCCATAGAGAAAGAGGCATACAACGAGGCGGAGGAAGCCGAAGCGAAGAGACAGAGTAGGGAAACGCGGTGCACACAACAAACTCACTCTCCGGTGAGTATAACTCGTCCCACGGATACGCACACACGACACGTATCTACGACGACGAGGATGGCGACGACGGTGGTGGTGGTGGTGGTGGTGGTGGTGGTGATCGCGACACGTGCAGCTACACGTAGAGAGAAAGACACGAGGCGGGTGTGTGTGTGTGCGTGTGGAAAAACGAGGGGCAACGTGGGGTACCAGGACAGGCGAGTAGTGGAGGAGGGGGAAGAAGGAAGAGGTGGAGGAGGATACCTGGCCAGGTGGTAGTGGCGGCCAGGTGGAGGGGAGGGGGGCCGAGAGGTGCCCCTCGGCGAGGCGGTGGGCACAGCGGTGGTAGGGGCCCCTGGGTGGGGGCGCGGGAAGGGGGTGGAAGAGTACCGCTATACCTGGAGTCGCTCGAGGCGAAATACATACCTACCTACCTACCTAGTATATATTCCCTCGGCTCGTTGTATCCGGCTGATACGATCCTCTCTGTCGTCCACCTCTCGCGCCGCCTCTCTCTCTCTC